CGTGTAATTAAACACAGAGCCTGAAATGCCGTTGGCCAGATTCTCCTCTCTCACCAGCCTAAGCCAAGAACAGAGTTGCCAACCCCACACTGTCAAATATCACAAGGTGGGCTGCTCAGTGTCACAAGATCTTAAAAAAAAAAGCCCAGGAGAGCCAAAGATTTTTTAGTGAAAACATTTTATTGAACCAACTGTATTAATATACTCCCTGGACTATCCTGGCAACAACCTTCTAATCCTACTTCAGAAAATAATCATTTATGGGGTTTGTCTTTGTGGTGTTTGAGCCTTCAGGGTTCCTGCTGTCCAGCATTTCTCCCCAGACCTGAGGGCTGAAAACTTCCTTTTTCTTTTTTAATAAAAGCTGATATTTTGCCAAACATCAGAAGCTTTAAGAAACAAATCACATATTGCAAGCCACTTGCTGGTAAGAGTCAACAGTTTTGCAGAAGTAGTTCTAATGGAGGCATCGGTACCAGGTTCTCAGCTGGTGAGAATCAACATAGTGTCATTGAATGAATGCTGCTTTACATTTCTGACATACCTGGGTATTCCTCTAAAGCAGTGGTGTTCAGCCTGTGGTCTGCAGACCCCTGGGCATCTGCAGACTATGTCCAAGGGGTCTGCAAAAGATATGATCAATCAAAAGCATGTGACTACCCACACTTACCATTCAGAGGGGTCCGCACCTTCCTTTGAAGTTTCTAGAGGGGTCTTCAGATGAGAAAAAGGTTGCAAACAACTGCTCTAAAGTGTTCCTAGTCCTGCAGATTCTCCCTCCCCCATCAGAGCTTGCTATGTTCGTAATTGTGCTGGTGCCAACTGTAAACACTTCTGTCTCAAAGGTCTCTGGAATTCCCAGTTATGAGGTTTTCAGCTGCCTTCAGTCACACATTAATATCTTGGACTAGACCCTCCCTTTCCTCACAGTCTTTGGAACTCTTGACTGCTTCAGGCTGCTCCCTTCTGCTTTGTGAATTGTGGTAGAAGAGCAGCACAGCTAAGTTTTAGTCTTTGCTTAATCCTTGTTTTTCCCAGTGACTTAGGGGCGTCTGCCCACGTCAGCTGCCCAAAAGAAATCTACCCAGTGGCTGAGCCTATCAGGTGCAGGACAGCTGGATAAAAGTTCAGAGCTGCCTTGTGAGTTCTGAGTCAGCGGGCAAACCTAGTGCCAGTCACAATTTGTGTGGGAGGTGCGACTATTCCAGGAGTGCAGCAGGTTCAGTGGTGAAGACTGCTGATGTAGAGTTGGGAATGAGGCTTTAGAGAGAGCGGCCTTGGAAACACCATACAGTTTGCTTGGATCCAGAGCTTGGAAGTTATCCTCAGAAAACTGTTGAGATGGCTGCATGCTCCAAGAGACTGCAGAGAATCCACATGCATTTGTGATATGACTCTGATGCAGAAGCTAATGCAGACAATTGGAAATTATGACAGTTCCTGCTCTTCCTTCTTCTCTCTGTTTGATTTTCTGTATGCTTAGGTACATTTGTGACTCCTGTCCTCAGAGCATCTACGCCTTGTGTAAGTTAAGAAATTAACACCTTTCCCTTCACATCCTTCAAGCATAACCCAAAAGATGGATTATTTCTCCTTCTCCATCCCCTTCCTGCTCCTCGCCCATGTTGGTCAAGAGCTGCTATAGGAAAGATGGATCACAAATGGTTTTGGATTTAATCTTGAATAGGGCATGGTCCATAAGTCATAATTTATCTCTTGTGGAAATCCATTCCATAGTCCACCACCAGTGCTGCTTTCTATAACAGCACCACCTTCCACCCTTGGCTTTGTTTCCCTAGAGCTGTTCTGGGTAGTAGCAGAGGGATAAGTGCTGTCTGCTGTGCATCAACCTTTCGCCCCTTACAAGATTTGGAACTGGAGTCTCTGTTCAAAGCCAGTGTAAATGTTGAAGCAGGGAAACCTGATCAGGATGACCGACTACTGTAAGCAGGTGACTTGGTGTGTTTTATATGAGGCTGAAGCTTTCATAGGTGGTTTTGCTTGGTCTCCCCAGGGAGCAAAGTTTCAAAGGTGAAGGGGATCTTTGTCCTATCTTTCCCCTCTCCCCAGCTTTGGTGTTCATCATGCCTTCATGAAAAGTCACCTGCTGTAGAGAGGGATGTGGTCTGTGCTTGTCCCTTATGCTGCCCCAGACCTGCTGATACACCATCCACACCTGATAAACATCTTTTCCTTTCTGGAGGGTTGGGCAGGGTGGGAGCTCGTATTCTGCTTAGACTTTGGTTGTTTTACTTTTCCACCCTGCAGTGACTTTCCTCTCCCTCTTTGATGGGGCAACTGGAATTTGGGTAAATGGAATGGACAATGTATCACTAATGAAGGGGAGAGCACTTCTGATTCTGATTCTGTTTTTGGCTGGTCTTTCCCTTGGACCCATCTCCTTGGCATAATGGCTCTAACTGGGAATGTTTGTTCTAAAGCTGCCGTATCCAGCTGCAGCCTGATAAGCAATGTTCCCTCTAAGGAGCAGTGGTCCATGAGCGCGCTGCCTTGGTCCGATGTGGGACGCTTACCGAAGGGGGTTGGGGCTGGAGGATGGAGCCAGGAGCCAGGGGCTAGAGCCGGGGGCCAGTGCCTAGAGGCTGGAGCTGGGGGCCAGGGGCTGGAGCCGGTGGCTGGGGTCGGGGACAGGGGCCAGAGGCCAGGGGCTGGAGCTGGAGCCTGGCACGGGCTCCGCCGGCTCCGGGGAAGTGCTCCACTCCCCCACATCAGGCTCTGATGCCATGTACCTCCTCACTCCCCGAGGCCATGCAGGGGAGCGGAGCAGTGCCGCGGAGCCTCACTGGGGCAGGCAGCGGCTCCTCCCTGAGGTGAGGCAAGGCAGGGGTGGAGGCTGGCGCGGGCTCCGCCGGCTCCAGAGAAGTACTCCAGTTCCTGGCCCTGATGTGAGGGAGCGGAGCATTTCCCCAGAGCTGGCAGTGTCTGCTCTAGGCTCCTGCCCCAGCCTCTCCTGGTGCGCGGCCCTGAAAAGGCTGTGCGCGGCCACAGTTTTAGTTGTGTGTGGCTGCGCAACTTAGAGAAAACCTTGCTGCTGAGCCCTGGCGCATAAAAGTCAGAAGACAAAGGGGCAGAACAGTAGTTCAGTCTCCCAATGGCTAATCACCAGAGCTGTTTAGGACTGCCTCTGCTATATACCTCCCTCCAGTCATGTCCTTTCTTCCACATCAGCCTTCTATCCCAGGGGCAGGTAAAATACGGCTTGTGGGCCAGATCCAGGCCGCCAGGTGATTTCATCCAGCCCATGGGCGGGTGCCCACCAATTCATTGTATCCCGCCCAGCCTGTGCCTGCCCCTGCTGCACTTGCACGAGCCCCACCCACTCCCATCAGGATAGCACGCTGCACTTTCACCCTTGTGCGAGGTAGGGCCTTGGACAAAACACAGCTTCTGGGCAGGGCCGCTGCTGCCGCTTGCAGGGGAACTGATCAGTTCCTCCTCGTGCACTCCATGCAGCAGGTAGGGAAGCATTGGGAGGGTGGGGAGAAGCTGAAACTAGGTGGGAGCACAGAGTCCAGGGCCTGCACCCAGCGAGGTGGCAGGAGCCCGGGTCGGCCTGGTTCCATCGCGCAGGGCTCCCCACGGTTCACGTGCAGCTCCCGGGACTTGTGTGCCACCTCCCCCACCATGCAGTGGAACTGGCAGCCTTGCCGCTCCCTGCCGCCACGTGCAGCTCCTGGCACTCCGTCAGAAGTGGCAGGGAGCCCCAGGAAATGGAGCCAGGCTAGCTTGGCCCCACTCCCTGCTTTCCACCAGAGTCCTAGGATCTGCATGTGGCAGCAGGGAGCAGGGCCAGGCCTCTGGCTCCATCTCACAGGACTACCCCTTCCGGGCACACGGCTCTGGCTGAGTCCTGGGAGCTGCATGTGAGGTGCAGGGAGCTCTGCGTGATGGAGGCCAGCCGGCCTGCTCCACTCCTTGCCACCACGTGCGGCTCCCAGAAGTAGCCAGAGCTGTGTGGCACCACCGGTGCAGGCCATGAGTGTCCCGTGAGCCTGCCGCTTGGTGCTGCTGTCACTGCTGCCAGCAGCGGGGGTTGTGGGCAAACACCGTCCCCCACACACAGCCACACTCCTTCACAAACCACGCATCCACCCACCCTCACTAACTCTCCCACACACAATATACAAGAGTATGACTTTATTTTGAGGTACTACGTAATCACCTCTATATACTCTACGCAAACGCATGTAAATCAGAACAAAAATATATATTTTTTTAAATAAAATATGTTATAGTAGATGTTTGATTTTTAGCATATGACTTGGGGGGGGTTTTCCTAGTTCCAAGAAGGCACCCCCACCCCCACGGAAAGGAGTACTCCTGGAGGCAAGGGGAGGGACTTCTGGTGGCAAAGGTCAGGGGTTCAGAGCAGGACTTCTGGTCCCAAGATGGCGGCCAGGGGGCGGGATACCTGGCAAGGGGCGGGACTGCCCTTGCGGCCCTCAGCCACTCATTAAATCTCATTAAGCAGCTCTTCAGCCGAAATAATTGCCCAACCTTGTTCTACTCCAAATCCCTCCCTCTGTCTTGCTTTTCTAGCATCTCCTTGGCCTTAGGATGTGACACCATAGGAGCAATCTCTCTGCGTTTTGTCCTCTCCTCCCTTCAGTCTGCTGCTCGTATCCAGCCTGCTGGGTGTGGAGGCCTCTGGGCCAGAGCTGCGTGTTTTCCTCCCCTGCCCTGACACCCGTGGGGTGCTGAGAAGCGCTTAGGCTTGGAGAGGTCAGACTTGGTGGAGTCGCCAAAGGCATTCAGCCTGTTGAGCACAACCTGGGAGAGGGAGGGATTGGTTTTGGATTTAGCTTTCTCAAGATTTGAGGGAAAGATTCAGGCTGGATGAGTTTGAACCTCTCTCTCTTGTTTTCCCCTGGGATCTTTCTACCCCACCACTGCCACCACCTCTTTTTACCCGAAAAGCCCAGGTAAATTTGTAGCCAAGTAGAAGTTTAACATGTTTTCTCACTCTGGCTTTTCCTTAGGATGAAGATGAGACGCCACAAGCTCTTTTTGACTCTCTGCATGGCTGGTCTCTGCCTCATTTCCTTCCTGCACTTCCTCAAGGCTCTCTCTTATGTCACCTTCCCCCGGGAGCTGGCTTCACTTAGTCCCAACCTTGTCTCCAGCTTCTTCTGGAACAATGCACCAGTCACACCGCAGGTCAGTCCTGAGCCGGGGGGACCCGAGTTCCTCCGCACACCACTTTACTCCCACTCACCCTTGCTCCAGCCCCTGTCTCCCAGCAGAGCCAGTGAGGAGCTACACAGAGTTGAGTTTGTTCTGCCAGAAGACACATCAGAGTATTTTGTCCGTACCAAAGCCGGTGGTGTCTGCTTCAAACCAGGCACCAAGATGTTGGAGAAGCCACCAGTGGTCCGGCCAGAGGAGAGATCAGACAGTGCTGCATCGGGGCGGCCAGCCCGTAAGCCGCTGAGCGCCGGTGGGACGAAGCGGCGCAAGTGGGTGGAATGCGTGTGCTTGCCTGGCTGGCATGGTCCAAGCTGTGGGGTGCCCACTGTGGTCCAGTACTCAAACCTGCCCACCAAGGATAGGCTTGCACCGCGGGAGACACCCCGGCGGGTCATCAATGCCATCAATGTCAACCACGAGTTTGACCTCCTGGACGTCCGCTTCCATGAATTGGGCGATGTGGTAGACACCTTTGTGGTCTGCGAGTCTAACTTCACAGCATATGGCGAGCCACGCCCACTCAAGTTCCGTGAGATGCTGCTCAATGGCTCCTTCGACTACATCCGCCACAAGGTGCTGTACGTCTTCCTGGACCACTTCCCCCTCGGCGGGCGCCAGGATGGCTGGATCGCCGATGACTACCTGCGCACCTTCCTGACCCGGGATGGCATCTCCCGCCTCCGAAACCTGCGCCCAGATGACGTCTTCATCATTGATGATGCGGACGAGATCCCAGCCCGCGATGGCGTGCTCTTTCTCAAGCTCTATGATGGCTGGACAGAACCCTTTGCCTTCCACATGCGCAAGTCCCTCTATGGCTTCTTCTGGAAGCAGCCAGGCACCTTGGAGGTGGTCTCTGGATGCACAGTGGGGATGCTGCAGGCCGTCTATGCTACCGATGGGATCCGCCTGCGCCGCCGGGAGTACTATACCATGCCTGGCTTCCGGCAGTATGAGAACAGCACGGGACACATCCTGGTGCAGTGGTCACTGGGCAGCCCTCTCCATTTTGCTGGCTGGCACTGTTCCTGGTGTTTCACACCAGAGGGCATCTACTTCAAACTGGTGTCAGCCCAGAATGGGGACTTCCCCCGCTGGGGTGATTATGAGGACAAGCGGGACCTCAACTATATCCGGGAACTGATCCGGACTGGGGGGTGGTTTGATGGCACCACCCAGGAGTACCCCCCCGCTGACCCTAAGGAACAGATGTACGCCCCAAAGTACCTGCTAAAACACTATGAGCGGTTCCGCTACCTCCTGGAGAATCCCTACCGGAGGGCAGAGGTGGCTGGGTGAGGGGTGTGGGGCTTGCATGGGAAATGAACAACACAGCAAAGGGAAAGAGTAGGGTATTTCCTCTTTTGGGTTTTTTTTCCTGGTTTTGGTTTCAGCTGGGGTGTACCATTTCTTTCTAGTCTCTGCCTCTGGAGTGGAGCTGGGGGGTGGGGGGGTTATTCCCAGTCAAGTTCATGAGGGAAGGAGAGGAAGTGGGAACCTGCCCTGGGAGCAGGCTTAAACAAAACAAAACAAAACAAAAAACTGGCACATTCCCTCCACTTTGACTGCTGAGAGAGAGGAGAGTCATCTCATCTAAGCAGCAGATCCTCCTAGAGGGAAGGGATTAGAAGAAGAGAGAATGCACAGCTGCCCTCACCTCTCCCTATGGATCAGGGGTACACACACAGAGGAGCCTGGACTTGTCAGTGAACAGGCAGGTGCCAGCAGAGGTGTGTCTGAGTGTTTCGTGTGTGCTGCTCTGAGTTTGTGCATGGGTGAGTGTGCAGAAGCATCTTTGTATGCATCTATTGTCTCTTTGTTTACCTCTGCAATCCAATGGTTTTTGGGTGAGGGTAGCCACCTCTCCTCCAAAGTGTCCCCCCTCCTCCCAGAATGCAACCTCCTCCCACTAACCTAATACAAGTACATCTCTCCTGGGATCAGTTCTCTGTCTAATGTGCTGCCATGCTCAGAGCTGACATATAGGGGAAGTGAGGCATAAGGTGGAACTCTTCCTTTGCCACCACACTGCCTGCATTTGCTCAGCCGGCAGAAAATCGAGTGTGTTGTCCCTGCCTCTCATCCAGGTTGGAATGAGCTGCAGGGACTTCACTAGGGAGGTCATGTGCTGGTGAATGTGTGGACTAGCATGTGCATGAGTGTTAATGTTAATATGCACAGGTACAGGTATTTGTGGGTTGGTTTGTCACCAGTATCAGGTGGAGGAGCGAGTGTGTGTGCATGTGTGTGTATGTACGTGTGTGTGTACAAGTGTCCATAGTGGTGGGAGCATGGTAGAATCCGGAAGTTGTGCTCTTTACTTAGGTTTTAAGGATGTTCAGGGAACCCTCTACAAGCCTGCTGGGTGTAGTGGGAGGCCGGGAAGCTGTGAGCTCTGTGCGCCAGTGCTTCTTTAAAGGGACCTGTTCAGAACCAGCTCAGGATGTGCGGGTAAGGGTAGGCATGCCTTGGGGAAGCCCTGAAAGCCAAGCTGCTGCAAAGGGAATGTCCACAGGAGGGACCCTCCCTCCACAATGTCACAATAAAATATACACGCTGTTCGTTCCTTGTCTCTGTGGAGTAAATAGAAAGGGAAAGGGCAATCCCCTTCTCCCCCTGAATCCAGCCTAGCAGCAGGAAAGAACAAGATGTGAAATACATCCCAGCCTGGCACCTGTCTAGTTGCTCCCAAGATAGGAGGACCATCCGGGGAAGCTTGCTAGGAAAAGCCTACTAGCAGGCTACTCCTGCAGCACTGTGCTGCTGCAGCAGGGGTGCAAGCTGTTGGGGAGGTGTACAATCCAGACTTGTCGCCAGGACTGTCTAGGCAGAGTTGTGCACAAAGGAATATGTGAGATTAGATTTAGGAGCCAAACAAATAGAAGCCCATGAGCTAAGCTCTCTATCCTTGTTACACATTTCCACCTCCCATTGTTGGGGATATTCACATCACGGCCTCCTTGCTTCCAAGTCTGGTTTGTTTTTTTGAGGCAATGTCCACCCCTTCCTCTGTCTCCGCAAAATGCTCCCATGTTTGTGGAGTACATCAGGGGTCAGGTATGGCATGAACCTCCTGTTTTTGTGACAGATAAGGGAATGGGAGAATGAAGGGAGTGATAGGACCCTGTTCCAAGAAGGAACTTGGGAGTGGAGAAAGGAACTTAGCAGGAGAAATCCGTTTTCTTCTGCTTTTCACATGAATACCTTCTAATTGTTTAGGGTAAAGCCAAACCCACCTGGGTGGTTTGGTTTGTGTGACTATCCCATGTTTATTGTGCTTAGTGAAATAGATCTCCTCTGAGCTAAACATTTTACTGTTTTATTGCCCCTTGCTTGGATGTGTGCTTTTGTCAGAAGACTGTGATGGTCTGTCCGTGCAGAAGAGACAGCAGGGGCAGAGTAAGCCTGGACAAGGAGCAGGTTAAAAATGCATTTTTTCCAGTTGTTTGTGGTTGTATGAGGAAGAGAGGTCTGCTTTAACCAGAGCTGGATTATATATTATTTGACACAACAAAGATCTGATAAGCTACTGGCTCTCTGCCCTCATGGATGATCTGCTTCCCCAGGAAGACTGGTGGCAAACTGATAACAATGAAGAACAATTCTTCTTCCCCTGCAACCTTTTTTTTTCTGCCAACTCTGCTGCAGTTGTGTATAGATACCCTTTCACCCTCAAAATGTGTTAGGGCAGCATTGAACTATGGGTGGGGCAAGTCTCGCTCCTCTTTCTGTTTGCCTTAGTATGCTCTCCCCTCCTTCATGGTTTTTGAGGCATGAACTCTCCCACCTGTTACTCCTAAAGAGGGATGGGGTCTTTCCAGGTTATTTATAAACAAGGGTGGGAACATGGATATTAGTATTTTTGGATCAGGCAAGTCCCTCATACTGAAAGGAATATAGGGGAGGGTCCTCCCTGCCCCTGTCACTGGTGTTAATCCCTGGGGATACTTAAATAAAAATACTGAAATGGTATCCTGACAGGTGCCAGACACAAAGGAGGGGACTGCTCAAAGCTCTGTGTTTGGTATGGAGGGAGAAAGGTTCCAGTTCTCTGCTCCACTGCTATTGTCTCCAGTATTTTGCTTTACATTGCTGGGGGGGGGGGGGTTTCCCTACTAGGCCTATCTTTTCTGGGAACCACTTGGGAAAAAATAGTTTCTCCTCTCCTGGGG